CATCACAGCTCACAGCAACCTCCAACTCCTGGGCTCAAGCGAGTCTCCTGCCTCAGCCTCCCAAGTAGCTGGGACCACAGGCACCCGCCACAACACCTGGCTATTTTTTGGTTGTAGCCATGATTGTTGTTTGGCAGGCTCGGTCTGGATTCGAACTTGCCACCTTAGGTGTATGTGGCTGACGCCTTAGCCACTTGAGTCACAGGCGCCGAGCAAGATAATTTATCTTAATTTCTCTTATCTTTGTGGTTTAGAAGAAAAGGGTTCTCAATTTTAAGGCCGTACATTCTCAGTTTTTCATATTGGCTTAAGTTATATCTTAGTTTTGCATATAATTAAGAGAGAAAAGCAACAAACTTGAATAAATCAAGAAGATATAAAGAAAACTGGATTATTTTTTAGAAGTAATTCAGGAGAAATGTGGTGAAACCATTAAGATTTTTACATGATGTGGAAGTTATCTTCAAGTTAACTTTTAGACTTCTGGGGGAAAAATTATGGTTTTCAGTTATTAAATATGGAAATTTTATAGTGTTTTACTAATACCTTGTTTATTTATTTAATTAATTAATTTATTTTTTGAGACAGAGTCTCACTTTGTTGCCCCGGTAGAATGGCATGGTATCATAGTTCACAGCAACCTCTAATGTCCTGGGCTCACACAATCCTCTCGGCTCAGTCACCCTAGTAGCTGGGACTGTAGGCACTGGCCACAACACCCAGCTATTATATTTTTCTTTTTCTTTTCTTTTTTAAAGATGGGGTCTTGCTCTTGTTCAGGCTGTTCTTGAACTCCTGAGCTCAAGCAATCCACCCACCTTGGCCTTCCAAAGTACTAGGATTACAGGCGTGAGCCACCATGCCCAGCTTGATACCTTGTTTAAATTTTATTTCTCCTAAAGACCAAACTTTTATATCTTATACTTTTTGTCATTGCAAAGAACAAACTTTTTTCCTCTACCGTCATACCAAAACAATAACACTTATGGGACCAAAGATGTGGGGATTTCTCCCTACCAAAGAAGCAGTCAGTTCTGCAGTGGACACAAACTGGGCTCTTCCAATTCAATTCTGACTCCGTCTACCGGAAATTAGTGTTGGATCCCACAGGTTGTAGGCTCAGTACCAGAAGACTACTCCCTCCACCCTACTTCCCGTGCTAACCATAAGCTCCAGATTCTTTTACTTGTGGTCTTGACTACTGGCTATAAATCAGGAATCCTATGACCTTCTTCTTGGTTTTGATTAATTTTCTAGGGTGGTTCATGGAGCTCAGGGAGCCCAGTTTATTATAAAGAATATTACAAATGGGGTTCGCACTTGTAGCTCAGCAGCTAGGGCACCAGACACATATACCTGAGCTGGCAGGTTCAAATCCAGCCTAGGCCTGCCAAACAACAATGACAATTACAACAAAAGAAAAATAGCCAGGCGTTGTGGCAGGCACCTGTAGTCCCAGCTACTTGGGAGGCTGAGGCAAGAGAATTGCTTAAGCTCAAAGAGTTTGAGGTTGCTGTGAGCTGTGACATCACAGCGCTCTACCGAGGGTGACAAAAAGAGATGCATAGAGTGAGGTATAGGACAGGGCACGGAAGTTTCATGCCCTTTCTGGTGCTCTGTCCTCCACGAACCACCATACATCTTCAGCTATCTGAAGGTTCCCTGAACCCTCCACTTTTGGATTTTTATGGAGGTCTCATAACTAGATGTGATTGATTAAATTGTTGGTTAACTTGACTTTCAGTGCCTCTCCTTTTCCCATGGGTTGGGTTATACTGGAAATCCTAACTCTTTCATCCTGCCTTAGTCTTTCTGGTGTCTGTCCTCCATTTTCAACTGTGTAGCGGCTGCCTGCCATCAATCAGGCTATTAGCATACAAAAAGACATTGCTTGGGATAGTCCAAGGGTAATAGTGTTGTGCCAGGAAATGGGGGTTGAAGACCAAGTATGTATTTTATAATAGTATACCTTTTTTTGCAGTTGATCCCATTTATTGACACTGTTCTCAGAGACTCAGAATTGCAACATGGGGAGCTGTTTAACCATTTAGCAGAAACTTTAAGTTCCTGGGAAGTCAAAGCAGACATGGAAAAAGATGATAAAACGGCTCAGAAGTTGGAGAACATACTACTGCATTTCTGGGAGAGACTGTCAGAGATCTGTGTCGCGAAAATCAATGAGCCAGAAGCTGAAGTTGAGTCTGTTGTGGGTGTGTCAAACCTGCTACAGGTTCTTCAGAAGCCAAAGAGCTCACTGAAGTCAAATAAAAAAAAAAATGGTAAAGTTAGATTTGCTGATGAGATACCCGAAACTACTAAAGACAATGAAAAAAGTGTATCTTCAGAAGGAGAGAAGAATAAAACCTCGGAATCAAGGAATGAACCGTCTCTCACTCCTAACTCTTCAGACCTTTTGTCTCCTTTAAGGAAAAAGCCTTTGGAAGACTTAGTCTGTAAACTCTCAGAGATGAGTATTAATTATGTCAATGAACAAAAATCAGAGCAACATCTAAGGTTTCTTTCTACTATACTTGACTCCTTTGCTTCAAGCCAAGTATTTAAAATACTGCTTGGTGATGAAAAACAGAGTATTGTCAAAGCCAAACCTCTTGAAATAGCCAAACTTGCACAAAAAAATCCTGCGGTGCAGTTTTTATACCAGAAACTAATAGGTTGGCTAAATGAAGACCAAAGGAAGGATGCTGGTTTCCTGGTAGACATTTTGTACAGTGCCCTTCGTTGCTGTGACAGTGACTTGGAAAGAAAAGATGTCTTGGACGATCTTACTGAGGTATTACTGTTTTAAATCTTTTTAAACTATTTTAAGGATAGATTAGTAGAATGAGCTTGTATAGGGGTTATTTTTGGATTGTTTCTTTACTATGAATGACATTTTTAAAAACAAGCAGTGTAGGCTCGGCGCCTATAGCTCAACTGGCTAAGGCGCCAGCCACGTACACCTAAGGTGGTGGGTTCGAATCCCCAGCCCGGACC